GGCTCAGGGGCGGGGCCCATCCCTACCCACACCAGGCAGACAGGTGTCCTGCTAGGCTGCCAAGGCTCCCTTGGCCTTGGGGGGCCAACCATGGGGCGGGTTCTTTGTTGGGCTTGGCCCGGGCCCGCCCTCATTGACCCCCACCCTCACCCCTGCAGCTGGACCTGCAACCCCAAGCCAAGGTGTTGATGTCTGTGCAGTATTTCCTGGAAGACGGAGGTAAGACCTGCCTTCCCTGGGCTGGGGATATAGGTTCAGAGGCCAGAGCCAGGACAGAGGTTTAGAGAAGGAGCCCCCATCAGCAATCTATCCAGGGCCACCCTGGGAGGGACCGCAGGGGTGTCCTTCCTATGGCTGCGGCTGACCTCACCATTCCATGTCCCCCAGATTGCAAGCAGTCTCTGCGGGGTGAAGACGAGGCCATGTTCCCAACGATGAACCGCCGTGGAGCTATTAAACAGGCCAAAATCCACTACATCAAGAACCACGAGTTTATTGCCACCTTCTTTAGGCAGCCTACCTTCTGTTCTGTGTGCAAAGAATTTGTTTGGTGAGGGCTGGCTGTGCCTGCTGGGGGAAGGGAGGGCACATCCAGTGCCTCCCCCACTCACCCTGCCTGGGGATTTGCCTTTCAGGGGTCTCAACAAGCAAGGCTACAAATGCAGGCGTAAGTGTCTCCACAATTCCTTTTGTACACACACCCGTGTGCCTGGAAGTGCCTGGCTGTGTTCATAGGAGAGCCTGTGTGCCCATGCTGGGGACTGCATGTCTGAATGAAGACTCTGTGTGCTTGAGTGTGTGCACATGAGGTTTTCCACATCAGAGTACACGTGTGTACGATAGATAGCTACGCTCCATGAGTGCCAGAGCTGGCCTGCTCCAGCTCATGAAGTCAGCTCTGCATATCTCTTCCCAACTCTTTGCATTCGGTGACATCACATTAGTAGCCTGAAATAGGACACATTGGAGTTTTTACAGCGAAATCAGCCAGTGCTGCACATCAAGCCTCTTTTCCTCCAGAGAGGCTGTCAGACCTGGACCAGCACACCCCTGGCTGCACACGCCTGGCTGCATGTGTATTCCTGTTAGATATGTGTGCATATGGGTGGACACGTCTGAGTACACCTCCATGAGGGTGCATACACCAGGCAGTGTGGGCCGGCAGCTGTAAGCACAGGCTCTGGAGCCAGACTGCCTGGGTTTGAATCCTGGCTCTACCACTTCTTAGCTGTAGCCCGTTAGGCACAGTTACCTAACCTCTCTGTGCCTCAGTTTTCTCATCTATAAAATAGGGATAATAGTGTCATTATGAAGATCAAGTGGGATAAAATATGTAAAGCTGTATTTTAAGTGTGATTGGTACATGGTAAGCATTCTATGTAAGAAGCCTTGTTATTATTGCACATGCTGTATATGTCTTTATGTCTGAGTTAGGGTGCATCTGTCTGTGTGCATGTACATGACGGAGAGCTTGGGAGCTATTTGCTGTCCTGGGGCATAGAAGAGGGAAAGGGGGCTCCTTTACCTCCACTTCTCTCACTGCTATACCCCATCCCCCTCACTTCTGTCCCACTCTGTGCCCATCGGGACTCCTTGAGCCTTTCTAACCTCAGATCCACCAGATTGGCCTGCCCTCCCTGCCCCCTCCTTCCCAGGCCCCTCCTCCGAGGGCTGGCGGGAGGAGAGAAAACTCAACCTCTGGGCCCAAGGCCTCTGTGGGGTGAGGGTGTGGGCGGTCGGGAGAACGGTGGCTTTGTGTAGGGGGCTGGACCGGGCTTGCTCACAGACCCTGCCCTTCCCGGTGCCTTCTCCCCCGCCTCCTGGGCCTGCGCCTCCTCAAGAATGCAACGCTGCCATCCACAAGAAATGCATCGACAAGATCATCGGCCGGTGCACTGGCACTGCTGCCAATAGCCGGGACACCATAGTGAGGCTGAGTCCAGGGGAACGCCCTGGGGATCTGGGGGGGCTTGGCCAGGTGGGAAGGATTTGGGCTCTCCCTCCCCCTTCCCCGTGGGACTCACCCTTCCTCCCGTTGTTCTTGATCCTTCCTTGGACCTCTGGATTGCCCAGTCCCCACTGGAGCCCTGTTGGCATCTTGCCATGCATGGGGTTGGGGGAGAACTGGGGGTTGAGGAAGGGGCTGGAGCTTCCATGTGACCCTTGACCTGTGATCCCTCCACCCCAGTTCCAGAAAGAACGGTTCAACATCGACATGCCGCACCGGTTCAAGGTTTACAACTACATGAGCCCCACCTTCTGTGACCACTGTGGCAGCCTGCTCTGGGGGCTGGTGAAGCAGGGATTAAAGTGTGAAGGTGGGTGCCACCCAGCTTGGGCTGGGGTGGGGGTAGTGGGGGAGGGGTGCTCCCAGCTGTGCCTACCCATCGGGACCCCATAAACCCCACTTAACTGATGTTGCCTTTGCCTTCTCGCTGGGGGACCCCACATGGGGAGGCCTTGGTGACCCCTCCCCACTGGCCCGACTGGCTCTACCATTTACCTTCTGTGTGATCACTGGACAGGAGGCCCCACCTCTCTGAGCTCTGCATCCTCAAATGTAACGTAAGAGTCAGAGTATAGAAAGACCCAGAGAGTCAATGCCGCACAAGAGCAGGTGCTCCCCAAATGCACCTCACCACCCCTTTCCCCACCAGCTTCACTGATAGGGGAGAAACAAGACCCCTGCAGGAAAAAGGACTTGTCTACGTTGTCCCACACATTCTTTGAAGGGTCATAATTAGGTCCCATATAGTTTTCCTTTCCTTTAAATAATGAAAAATTTAAAGTGCTCATGATGGCATCGAATACATTTTTTCTAAAGACAGGAAACCCAGCAGATCCCCCCAAAGCCCTCCTTTCTCCTGTTCTCTCCTTCACCCCTCGCTGCCCTTGGCTGGGCCTGCTGGCTGCCCAGCCTGGACAGGGGCCCTGATGGGCCTGCTTCTCCCTCACCCCAGACTGTAGCATGAATGTGCACCATAAATGCCAGAAGAAGGTTGCCAACCTCTGCGGCATCAACCAGAAACTCTTGGCTGAGGCATTGAACCAACTCACCCAGGTGGGCAGCTCTGTGGGAACCCAGGACAGAGGGTAGTGGGGTTGGGGCAGTCAAGGCTCACACCCACTCCTGGGGAGCCACAGTGGGGGCTTTATACCCAAGACCCCACCTCTGGACGATCCAGGTCAAGAATTGGGCAGCAGAGAGTGGTGGCCTTATCCCATTAGAAATGAGTTCTTCCAGCAGTTCCGTACTTGGGGGTGAACCTGGGGGGGAAAGGGGGGCAAGGTTGAAACACTTGAAACTAAAAGCCTGTGTGTTTGTGTATGTTGGGTGTGGTGGGGTGCGAGAGATACCACAAAACTTTAAGGTAAAATTTTAGAATCAATCACAAGTGAAGGCAACACAAAAATCTATTGAGTAACTGGTTGAGAAGGTGGTATCCAATTTACAAAACTTTCGTTTGTAATTACTGCCTTCCAGACCCCCCAGGCATCCCTGTGCCACTGGAAGAGTGCGTGCCTGTGTGTGTGTGTGCACGCACGTGCGCGCTGCTTGAGGTCTCGGGCCTTGCCTCTGCTGGTCCCCACTGGGGACCATGGTATGACCAACCCCCACCCCCTTCTCTAGAAATCCTCCCGGAAGTCAGAGACGGAGTCTGCAGAGCCTGTTGGGATCTACCAGAATTTTCAGAAGAAATTAATAGGAGTCTTTGGAGATGAAACCCAAGGTAAAGCTGGACCTTTTTCCCCCAGGAAAGCCCCTGCTTCCCACTAGGGCCCAGGATGGGGCCTGGCCTCCCTCCATTGTCCACTGAGACCTGAGAGAAGACACCACCATGGAGAAGGAACCCCTTCCTCTCTGAGGCCCCTTACTCCAGCCCACCCCTGAGCCCCAGGGGAGGGGACTCTGCCAACAGAGACCTGAGTTGAAAGTGCCATCTCTCCAGCAGATAGCGGGACCTACGGCAAGATCTGGGAGGGCAGCACCAGGTGTTGCATCGATAACTTCATCTTCCACAAGGTCCTGGGCAAAGGCAGCTTCGGGAAGGTGAGAGGCCGCACGGCCCTGAGGCAGCCCAAGGGGCCTGGTCGGGTGGGGCTGTGGCGCCCTCGCCTCTGGCCCGGGCCTGTCCTGCTTAGTATCCCCACTCACCCGTCAGGTGCTGCTTGCAGAGCTGAAGGGCAAAAAGGAGTTCTTCGCCGTCAAGGCCCTGAAGAAGGACGTGGTTCTGATCGACGACGACGTCGAGTGCACCATGGTGGAGAAGCGGGTGCTGGCCCTCGCCTGGGAGAACCCCTTCCTCACCCACCTCTTCTGCACCTTCCAGACCAAGGTGCTTGTCCTCCCCACTGTCACTGCCCCAGGAGCTACAGCTCCCCTCAGCCTCCCGCTCAGACCGCTCGAGGCAGGACTGTGTCCCCCTCCTACTCCCAGAGCAGGGCCATGTCCCTTCCTCTCATGTCCCCAAGGGAGTGTTGGCCCTGCGTCGGTGGCCCTCCTGTTTCTGTGCCTCTGCTCACCACCCTCCCCGCCCCAGGATCACCTGTTCTTCGTGATGGAGTTCCTCAACGGTGGGGACCTGATGTACCACATCCAGGACAAAGGCCGCTTCGAGCTGTACCGTGCCATGTATGTGAGGGCCCTGTCGGGGGAGAGCCACTGCCAGGCTGCCCTCCATTCAGTTTTTCCTTTCCCTGGAGAAGCAACCCTGGACTAGAGCTGGGGTTGGACAGATTGGGGGTAGCCGGGGCCGCCCCCCACTGTGTGGAAAACCTGGTTGGTGGGTGACCTCTGGCTGGGCGCACAGCACAGATGTGCCGAGTCCTGTCCCCTCCTTGGACCTCAGCCAGGAAAGCCTCACACATGGTAATCTTGTGTCACACAGAACCCCAGTGTGTGACCCCTCGGACTAGCATGCACTCCCAAACTGTGTGTGCGTGCATGTGCATACATATGTATATCAATTTGAATGCATACACTCTTAGGACAGAAAATTGCCTTATTTGGAGCTTTTCCCTCATAATTTCCTTTTCTGCCTTGGCTGCTAGCCTCCACTTGCCTGATACAAGATGTGCTTGATCAGGCCCAGGTTGCCCATGGAGTTATTTGCAACATTTCCTGCCCCTGGAGGTGGGGATGAGGGAACAGGGAGAAGTAAGGGCTGGTCTGCAGAAATTCCAGAACACTTTGTCTCTCTCTTATCCAGGTTTTATGCTGCTGAGATAGTCTGTGGACTGCAGTTTCTACACAGCAAAGGCATCATTTACAGGTATGGAGTAGTGGGGACCTGGGGTGGGGGGGGAGCTTTCAGGAAGGGAAGCTCCAACCCCATCATATTCTCTGAGATGTTCTGAGTGGAGCCCGGTCCAGCTATGGCCCCACCTCGGCCTGGAGTCACTGTTGAGTTGGGTATTTGCCTAAACCTCCTACTCCATTGCTAGAATTCCTGGTGGCCCCTCAGCTGAGGCTGGCATAGCTCCAGGGACTGGGAATTCACTGCTCACCCGTACTCGGCGCCATTGGTGGGAGTGCGGCACCGAGTGGCACAGTGTCTCCCTTAGTGCAATCGGTCTCACTCCGAGGCCCCCTCTGAGCACTCTCAGCTTCCACCAATAGGAACTGGTTCCATAAATTCACACCCCATAAATGACCGTCCCATCCGACAGTAGTTTATTATGCGCTCATCAAAAAGGCTGAGGGATGATGCCAGGATAGGTTGTCAAGTGGAAAACCAACCATGGGACAGTGTGTATTGAATATTAGGGTTCATGTTTTAGAAGGTGAGGTAAGATGCGTATTGTATTGTGCTTTGTCAGTACCTAGAGTCGCTCCAGGGAGGGCCTGGCCGTCGAGGTTAGTGGAAGGTGGACTTCGTATGTGCTGTTTGCCCTTTTCTAGTACTTGTTACCATGTACATAAGTTATCTACTCAACCAACTACATAAAAATAGACATGGTCCCTGCCCTTGTGGAGTCACACAAACCTGAACCCAGAGCCACTGCTGACCAGCTGTTGATCCTGGGCAAGTGACATCACCTCTCTGGGTCTCATTTTGGGCTCCGGAAAGTAGGACGGCATGTGTCCAGCATGTAACACCTAAGTAGGTGGCCCGCAGGAAGCACCCGTTTTGGTGCCTCTTTCCCTTCCACTGCCTTTTCCTCCCCCCCTTGTCCCCTTGGGAAGAATTCTAGGCTTACAGGGTGAAAATGGGACGGGGGGACAGGAGCGGAATTGGCTCCTGAAGACCCCTGTCCTACCCTTTCCCCTCAGGGATCTCAAGCTGGACAACGTGATGCTGGACAGGCACGGCCACATCAAGATCGCCGACTTTGGGATGTGCAAAGAGAACGTAGTCGGGGAGAAGCAGGCCAGCACCTTCTGCGGTACCCCTGACTACATCGCCCCTGAGGTGAGCGGGCCCCCGCCCCGCCGCCAGCCCAGGCGGGGAGCCGGGCAGGCCTCCTGGGCAGCGATGTCTGCGCCAGACCGGGAGGCTGGGGCGCCCGACGGGGTCCTGCTCCGCGGCCCCTCAGCTCCGGCCCCTTCCCCGCCCAGATCCTGCAGGGCCTGAAGTACTCCTTCTCTGTGGACTGGTGGTCCTTCGGAGTCCTCCTCTACGAGATGCTCATTGGTCAGTCCCCCTTCCATGGGGACGACGAGGACGAGCTCTTCGAGTCTATCCGCGTGGACACGCCGCATTACCCCCGCTGGATCACCAAGGAGTCCAAGGACATCCTGGAAAAGGTGGGAGGCCTGGGCGAGGCCGGCTAGGGCTGAGAACTGGTATGCGGGGCTGCGGGAACCCCAGGAGCCTCTGGAACAGTAGCTTCACTAATGCTCCAGTGGTGACATGTTGGGGGGATTGCTCTCTTGCCACAGTTGCGGGAGCTCCTGTCTGAGTACCCTGCACTGGATCGGCCTGGCATGGTGATTGTTAGCTTAGATCAGGAGACGGACAGACCTGAGGCTAAACGCTGAGTCTGTCTCTTTATCTGCAAAATGGAGCTAGGAAAGAACCCGAGTTGTTGGGAAGACACATAAATGTATGATGCTCAGGTCTGTGCCAGGCAGAGAGCAAACACTCAGGGGACAGCCCCTGTGAGCCAACACTCAAGAGTCCCAGCAGCCCCTGTCCACAACCTGTTGTCTCTGGGGGACCTGGGAACATACCACCAGGGAAGATCCCCTCAGCCCCAGTGGCCCTGGACTGCACCACTGGGCTCTGCCAGGCCTGCCTGGGTGCCCTGGGTCTACTTGGGTGTTTGCTGAGGCTCCAATTTCCTGCAGCCCTTGGGTGCTAACCGGGGCCCCTGCTGGGTTGCAGCTGCTTGAAAGGGATCCATCCAGGAGGCTGGGAGTGAGTGGGAACATCAGAGCCCACCCCTTCTTCAAGACCATCAACTGGGTTCTGCTGGAGAAACGTCTGGTGGAGCCTCCCTTCAAGCCCAAAGTGGTATGTGTACTCCAGCTTCAATGGGGGCCATGCACTCAGTGTTGCCCCTCTGCCTTCGGGGTGGGCACTTCCTCCTTTGCCGTGCCTCTTGCCTGCATTTACGTGCTTTCTCCTCTCCCTACTTCTAGCAAACCTGCTTCCCTGACCTCCTTGACACCTTCAGTCACAGCCTCTACCCTGATAGTCTCACCCTCTCTCCTCACTCAGTTATTCAACAAACACTGGGAACTGTGGATCCAGCCATCCCTTAGCCTGCATTTTTTAGTGCCACTGTATGCAGGGGACTGTGCTTTGGGAATCAGAGTTAAAGCCTCCCTCCTTCCCTCCCCCTATCCAATCCATTTTACAATAAATGCTGAGTGCCTGTTACGTGCAGAGCACTGTGCTGAGCTACTCAGCAGAGTGGGAGGCCCAGTCCCAGAGCTCGAGGAGCCCCAGCTCAAGAGAGACAAGAAACTTGAACACAGATGATCATTTGTGATATAACACAACAGTACGAGAGCTGTCACAAGGCCACACATGATCAGTTGTCATCAGGCGGGTCTGTTAGCAGGAGCCCAGAATGCATAGAATGGGGTGCGTCTGAGAGGAAGTGGGACATGGGCAAGGCTGGAGGCAGCTGGGAGGCGTTGCAGGTAGAAGAGGGGTGGTTCACGCGAAGGCCCAGAATCCAGAGGCCACCGAGGAGCCAGCAGGAGAGCAGAGACAGGTTGGGGCCAGAGTTCCGAGCACCCCAAACACCTCGGAAGTTGGATTCTATGGCCCTTCTCTGATCACAGTTCCTCCTTCCCATGCCTTTCCTCTCCTCTGCTTCCCCTCCTCCATCAGGACACTCTGTCCCACTGGGCAGCCTGTGTCATGTGATGTGCCCCACCATTGTGCCTGGAGGTCGCAGAGCACTTTTCCTGCTCCAGGGACCTCAAACTCGATGCCTCCTGGGCTGGGCATGTTACTCCCAGGCCAGGCAGGCTGCAGGAAAATCATACAGCCTTCTCTCAGGCTCGGTTATGATAGAAAGAGGGACAGATTGATTTCTCTGCACTAAGAAAACAAGGGGATGCTGATCGGCAGCCCGTCAGTGGGATGTGGTGGGGCCTGTGGTGAGCGGCCCCAGGGGCACTTTAGCACCAGGAAAGTATGGGCCCTGGAATGGGTTCAAGGCTGCTTTGCCTGTTTTCAAAAGACCAGAAATCTGGGTTTTTATGTCACATTGCCCAATTTTAACATATTGGCTCAAATGCCATTAAAACCCACTGCTAGTCAAAATGCTGTACTTGCCAGCTCAGTGTGGCCTGAGGGCCATCAGCTTGAGATCTGTATCACCATTTCACTGTGTTCTCAGAGGCAGAGCTGGCAAACCTTTCCTGTGAACAGCCCAGTAGTAAATACTTTAGGCTTTGCAGGCCAGATGGTCTCAAAGCAGCCATAGATAGTATGTTGATGAGTGGGTGTGGTCTTGTGCTACTAAAACTTTATTTATGGACAGTGAAATGTGAATTTCATTTAATTTTCATGTCATGAAATATTCTGCTTTTGATTTTTTTCCTAAACATTGAAAAATGTAACCTGGCTGGACGTAGCTCAGCTGTTGAGCATCGACCTAGGATCCAGGAAATCGAGGTTCAATTCCCGGTCAGGGCACATGCCCGGGTTGTGGGCTTGATCCCCAGTCGGGGGTGTGCAGGAGGCAGCCAATCAATGACGCATCATTGATGTTTCTCTCTCTCTCTCTCCCTTTCCCTTCCTCTCTCTAAAATCAATAAAGATATATTTAAAGAAAAGAAAAGAAAAATGTAAAAGCCTTTTATTTATGTTTATTGATTTAAAAAAATTTTTTTTTAGAGAGAGGGGAAGAGAGAGAGAAACATCTATGAGAGAGAAACATCATCAATTGGTTGCCTCCTACACACACACCCCCCCCACTGGGGATCGAGCCCAAAACCCTGGCATGTGCCCCGACCTGGAATCGAACCTGTGACCTCTTGGTTCATGGGTTTACATTCAACCACTGAGCCACACCAGCCAGGCTAAAAGCCATTCTTAGCTTGTGGGACTAACAAAACCAAGTGGCAGACAGGGTCTGGCCCCTGGGTATAGTTTGCCAGACCCTGCCCAGGACATGCTCACCTTTTCTTATCCAGGCCCAGAGCTCCCTGCTGGCTTCCCTCTTCCCCTTGGAAAAACAGCATCCACTTTCTAGCTGGGCTTCTCCCAGGTTGTTAGGAAAGATTCCCTTTTCTGGTCTTACTAAGGATAGCTCTGGCCTAGCTTGGCCCCACAGGGATTCTGGTGTTTGGGAACCTTCAGAAGGGTGCCCCTTGGGTCCTGCTCACCCACCCCTACCTTGTGCCCACAGAAGTCCCCTGGAGACTACAGCAACTTCGACCAGGAGTTCCTGAGTGAGAAGGCACGCCTCTCCTACAGCGACAAGAACCTCATCGACTCCATGGACCAAACAGCATTCGCTGGCTTCTCCTTTGTGAATCCCAATTTCGAGAGGCTCTTGGAAAATTGAGGTTCCCAGACATGACCCCCCAACCCATCCCAACCAAGGAACCTGAGTCAGTCAGCACGGCCTGCCCACCCAACCTGGGCAGAGCAGGCTTGGACCCCTACATCAGCACCTGCCCGCCCCCCACGATAAGCAACAGTGTGACTGTGGTGATTTCTGCTGCTGCCGGCCCCCCTCACTCCCAAGAGGGGCCTTGGCTCCTATCTGGCTGGGCTCTTAATGGTACTTCTTCTGTGAACTGAGTGTGAATTTGCTTTTCCTCTGCCCTCAGAGGGAAACTGTAAATCCTGTGTTTCATTACTTGAATGTAGTATCGAAAAAATGTATTATATATATATGCATATATATGTATACGCACACACATATATATATATATAAAACAGGCTGTATATATTGCTCAGTAGAGAAAAAAACATGGGGGACTGGTAATGTGTTGATCTTTTAAAATATATAAATATGACAAGAAAAAAAAAAAGGAGCACAAGCTGTTTGAACCACCAGGTTCTTTTATTTGTGTGTCTAAATAAACACCAAATGGTACCAACCTAGCTGTGGGGAAGTGTTTGTCCCAGGAAGCTGGTGGCTGCTCCCACTTTTGACAGCTAACTGAGTTGATGGGTGCAAGCACAGACCCTTGTGCTTTCATGCAAATGTGTTTATATTTATGGGTTTCCTCTGGCTCTGGGGCACTGGGTTTTTCTGGGTGGCTTAAGCAGCCCCATATGGCTCTATGGGGTGATGGGAGAAGGTGGTTCCAGTTGCAGGCAGTGTCTCAGGAGAGTGAGGGGCCAGTCTGGAAAAGCAGAGAGGTGAAGGCCTGGCTGGAAGAGATGAGTGAAAGCCTAGAGGCTGGCCCAAACTGGAAAGAAGGGCAGGGAGGAGAAAGTTAATACAGCTCAGGCTTCAGGCAGATATGGATTCAAATTGCAGAGCGGCCAAAAAACGTGGGCATGTCACTTAATCATTTTAAGCCTCAGTTTCCTCATCTGTAAAATGGAGACAAGGCAAGGTGATGCTAGATGTAATGCCCATCTCATTACTATTTATCTCTGTCCTTGCCATAGAGGAGTCTGTGCCTGAGTTCTAGAATCTAGTTCTCAGGATCCCTTGCCTACCTGGAGAAGGGGAGGGGAGCAGGGTAGAAGGAAAAGGTGAGAAAGTGCCAAGTGGCTGAGTCTAGGTTGATCGCCATGCTCCAGTGTCCCCTGAGCCGTGTCTCCTCCCGCCACCTCAGTGTCTCTCCCTCTCCAGCTTCCTGTTTCTTCCTCTCTCTCTCTCCCTTCTGTTCTCTCTGTCTCTGGGGCACAGGCCTTGAGGCAGCCCCCCCCCCAGCCCCTTTGGTCTAGCCCTCAGCCCTTTGTCCTTAGAGGTGGGTGAGCCCCCCCCCCACTCCCCGCCCTGCGCCTGATTGGCTGGTCCCAGCAGCGAAGCAGCTGACTTCCAGCAAGTTCACTTTTCTGGGCTGAGGTACAAGTTTCCACAGCTGGAGAGGAGTAGGATGGGTTGGGGCTGGGGCTGGGGCTGGCCAGGGGAGGGAACTGTGGGGATCAGGGAGCCGAACTCTTCCCCCAGAGACCAAATGTCCCCCTCCCCTCTCCACCCACCATCCTCTCAGGAAAACATAGTTGAATTCCTGCCCTGCACAGAGCAGCGCAAACCTTGGGGATGACATGGCATGGGCTGTGCTGGGGGATGCTGGGGCTGGAGGAGCCCAGAGGAGGTACCTGGGAACACACACAGCCCGGCCCCCACACACACTGGGGCTGTCCAGAGTGAGTTTAGAACAAAAATACGGTGGGTGTTTGAATTCAGAGCCTCTCACCATCCTCTTTGCAGCTCCAAGACAGCTTTGCACCCAGAGCCCGTTTCCTCCCGTGAGGAATGGGGGAATAAGTCATTTATCAGCCAAAGGTAGTGGAGGGTGGTGCAAAGAACATGGTGCCTGGAATCAGGAGCCTGGGGTTGAGTTCCATTCTGTCACACACTGTGGAACCTCCATACATGTCTTCATCAGGCCTCAGTTTCCTCATCTGTAAAACAGGATCATCAAACCCTGCTTCCTTATGGAGTGCCCAGTTCTGGGGAGCCCCTTAAGGACTGATGCAGGTACCCTATGGTGCCTGGCAAAGCCCAGGAAGGGACAGAGGCCTCCGGGGCCCACTTCAAGCAACCTGGGGTGAGGAAGCAGCTGTCAGAGACCCAGACACTGCCTGGGAGGCTGTGGGCTCCAGGCCTGTTCCCAGAGTTGGGCAGGCGCCAAGCCTGATCCGGCTGCTTCAGGAAATGCTTCTCATGGCTTGGCTCAGAGCCACACTTTCACTGGGACCTGGGGGTCCGGAAACCGGCAGGCTTGCCCCACCCCACCGGCCAAGCAGATGCATGAAGGAGCAGTGAGCTTGGCTCCACTGCAGGGCTGGTGGGAGCAACACACCCCATCTGAAATGTGTGCCAGGCAGAGTAACATGGACATGCCCACTATGCCAGGTTTTAACCAGCAGGTCTCAGCCCTGACTGTACATTGGAACCCAATGCCCAGGTTGCCCAGGTCTAATAAAATGGTGATCTCTGGAGGGGGCCCAGGCATCAGTATCTTTAAAGCTCCCTGGAGGGTCCAACCTGCACCAGGATTGGGAGTCAGTTGGGTGAGATCCAGGAGTCTGCATTTTGCCCAGTCACCCAGGTGAGGCCAGGAAGTCCTGCTCTGAGCAGGCCACAACCTGGAAGGCAAAATCACCGCCCAGGCCCTGTGTGCGGAGGCCCTCTGCCCCACGCCTACGGAGACTAGGAGATTGGTGAGCGGTGGATAGAAGCCACCAGGGCTGCAGTGCCCTCTGGTGGTCCGCAGTTGCAGACCCAGGAGGACTCTGCACAGGTTTAGTGCTGGGCTCTTAACCTATTTCCTGTCATTAGTCCCTGAGGAAATGTTCCTGCGAGGAATCTGTGGAGGACCATTTTACAAAGACTCAGAGACACAAAGGTTACACATCTAGACATCTCCCCTAACATTTAAGAGGTTCTCTGGGCTAGTCCATAGCTCACCCCATTCTCTGGCATTCACCCAACATTGCAGTCACATTTCCTCAATCTATTATTTCTTAAGGTGGGAGTAACTGATATGAGCTGGGAGGTCCCTGTTTCTGTCGGTTTTAATAGCAGGAAATAGGGGGTGTGCAGCATTTGCTAGGGTGGGAGGGGCTAGTGGGCTTTAGGAGCCCCACTAATGCCCTTGGCCTCATTCCAGCAGGCTGGGGGTTCAGACCTCTTCAGCCCACCATGCACCTGCCTCCTCCTCGACCCCCTCCTGCAGCCTGACTGTGCCCAGCAGGTGACCTTAGACGGCCCTTTGGGAGGATACAGGCTGCAGGGCTGGTTTTGGTTCTTCTGAGTCCTGACCACCCTCCCAGGTACCTCATCTCCTTAGGGCTGGTAAGGGGGAAGGGCACACAACCGAGAACACAAAACCTGGTAGCAAAGAAGGAGAAGAGGGGCAAAGAAAGGCCCCCCAAATGTGTAAGTCAGGCCTGCGTCAGTGTGGCCCTGGTTAGGCCAGACCCATGAGGTTGGGGCCCTGAGGCACCCCCTGGGTCTTACACGTGATTGAAGTCAAGGCTCACTAGCTCTAGCCTCAGCAAGTTAAGTCTTTGGAAATCTAGTACCACCCCCCAAATCAGGCTTGTTAAGTGGCCTGAGAAGACCCTCAGCCTCTTTTTCTGCTGTGAAATACATACTCTGAAGGCCCTCATATGTGCTGCTCAGAGGTGTTTTTTCTTTTTCTTCTGAGAGGGGAGTTAGCTTTCTGATTTCACCTGTGGTGGCAGACACTCAAGCTGCGGGTGGGGTGGCAGGGTTGGGCTCTGTTCCCAAACTCGTTCACTCCTTCATGGCACAAGTGCCTGCTCTGTGCCAGTAGCTGGGTGGGCATCACTTGGAGCTGTCACTCAACAGCATGATCTAGCACTCACTGTGTGCAGCTCCAGAGCTGACAGTGATGCTCTGGGACCAGCACTGTGCTTGATGCTTTCTCTGCATTGTTGACAGCAATTAATCCTCACAACAACCTCATGAGGAAATGACTCCCCATTTTGCAAATCAGCGAACAGAGGCTCTGAGAGGCTAAGGAATTTGTCCAGTAGCTCTGGGTTGGGGGCTCTGTTGTGTTCCCTGCAGAGATGAGCACAGTCTCAGGGACTTGCTCAAGAGCTATCAGGGAGAACCGAGGGTCTCTTGTCCTGGTCCTCAGGGGCACCGGGAAGAAGGAAGGTGAGCCTGGTCGCAGGCAGGGACAGCTGAGGGTAGCTAGGATGGGGCGAAGGTAGGCTGACTTGGAGCTGGAAGGACCCTTAGAGATCCTGAATTTCAGTGGGAATCTCCATGGATCCACAGTGGAAAACTGAGGCTGGAGACTGGAAGGGGCTAGGCCAGGGTCACACAGGGAGAGCCTCAGAGAGAGCAGCCAGGTGTGTTCCCAACCTTCTTCCTGCTGTAGGGCAGAAGCCTGACTCCTTCTCCTTTCCGCCCACTGCAGATCATACTGAGCCCCGCACACAGTGGGCGGCGGGTAAGTGCTGGTGAATGCGCACAGGTGAGTGAGGGATCTGGCAGTGTCCAGCGAGCACGCTCTACACTCCCAGTGCAGTCCTGCCCCTGACTCTGCTCCGCTCCCCTGCTCTGGTATCTGGTAAGGAGGGGTGGCTCCCAGTCCTGACTTGGGGCATTAAGAGCAGCAGGTGACCAAAGCCCAGGGACCTCAGAAGTGGATGTCCACCAGCTGGTGGGTGATGGAGGCCCACAGCCCCACGTGAGGGTTGGGACCTAGTTCAAGAGCGAGGCAGCCGCAGCTGGGCACAGTCCATTAGAAACCTGCCATCAGAGTATTGGCAAGGCCTCTCTGAGCCATTTCCTGGGTTTTAAATCATGAGTCCAGAAACAATTAAGCCAATTAGACACACGGTATCATTAACAAGTTAAAAATAACACACTTCACAAAATACTTGCCTTGAATTAAAAATAGATCGCCCAGCCCGGCCGGGCGTGGCTCAGCGGTTGAGCATCGACCTGGGATCCAGGCAATCAGGGTTCGATTCCCGGTCAGGGCACATGCCCGGGTTGCGGGCTCCATCAATGACTCTCTCATCATTGATGTTTCTATCTCTCTCTCCCTCTCCTTTCCTCTCTCTGAAATCAATGAAGCTATATTAAAAAAAAAAAAAAAAAAGATCTTGTTAGTTAATTATTCTTGTATGTCCGGTTTGGAAACAAGGTATGTTTTAAAAAAAGTCTTTAAACCCTGGCTCAGGTTTGCTACAGCTGGATATCAAATGCCCCTGTTTATATTGGACTCATACTCAGCCTGCTATGTGCCAGG